AAAACGAGCAGAAAAAAAAATGTGACCAGCGATTTCTTGAAATTATTATTTGGCAGCAGAAAACCTCCAGAAGGAGAGTCCCATGGCTGGCTCAGAGCTGATGGCACAGGAATGAGAGCCCAGCCACGACCATAAGAGTTGTCCCAAAGAGCCCTGCCTCAGTGTCAAACTGCAGATGAGCTCAGCACATGCTTGCGGCTTAAGCCACCAGAGTCTGGGGTGGCTTGTTATGCAGCGCTACATCACAGACACACGTGCATCCTCTTTTTTAATCTTCACAACAACTGAGAAGATGGGTACTGCTATGATCCCTATTTTACAGGCAAAACTAAAGCACAGAGCACACTGCATGGGCAGCGAAGGTCGTGCAGCTAGCAGATGGCCCTTTAGTCATCAGAGCTGCCTGCCAACGTCCTGGTTCTCCTTCCAGGCACGTGGCGAGACTGAAGTGGAGGAGAGTCTCGGGACTTACTTTGGACGATAAGACTCAAGTGGAAGCAACGTGTGCTGCTCTCGGGAAAAAGATTATAAAAAATGCGTGACTCGCCATGTCTGCTTTCTCTTAGCACAGAACCAAGGACGTCCCAGGTGGCGACCACGCCTTTGTGGAGCACACCTCTGGCCAACCGCAATGAGCATGGAACTCAGCAGTGAAATGAACCGGTTTTGCTTTGAGCTGCCGAGATCTGGAATCACCCCGCAGCACAGCCTGCTCTAGTCCATCCTGACCGCTGCAGCTGAGCCAGAAGCCAGCCCAGAACTCTCTGATTCCAAAGCCCACGCTCTCGTTCACGAACGAACGGGTGAATAAATGACTTCTGTCCAAAAGACGAGGCCAGCAATGCTAACTGAAAACAGGGAGAGAAAGGGATTAAAGACAACAAATCAATGCAGTTCAGACAGCAGAGGTCAGAGGAAGAAATTTTCTGTCCAGGGTGCACAGCGTCCAGGGAGGTGGAGAGAGACGAGTCTCCTCCTGCTGTGGCCCTGCAGAGCTGGGCTGGGGGCTGAGGGGAGAGCTGGCTTCTGCCTTCCCTCCCCAAGTGTCTGGAGGAATCGGCTCCGAGCAGGCACAGGAGGGCTACCTGGGAGCCCAGGTGTGGCACCTCCAGCCCTTCTCTGTGCTGCAGGAACCTCAGCAGTCACCAGGGCGGGGGCGGGGCAGCCCCAGACTGGGCCATCCAGAGTCCCCCTGCCCCGTGGCAGGGGTGTCTCCGGGCTCTGCCACCCTGGCTGCTGCTCACTGCCAGATATTCCTCCCCCAAAATCAGGTGGAACCAGATGGCTTCTTAGCACTCCCGTCACTCAAACCTCTTCAACTCAAAAGTAAGGCAGACCTAATTAACCAGCTCAGATCCCTAATTTGACATCTCATGGTGCCTGCCAGCCATCGTGGATTCAAATTCAACTTATCTGCTTCCACTTTGATTCTTCAATTTAAGCAACATTTCCAGATACCATACTTTAATTCTATGCAAATCAGCAAATGCTTATCTAGGCCCTATTATGTGCACAGAGCTATGGCCGAGAAATAAATAAAACATCCACTCTGCCCGCAGGGACTCACAATCTAAGTGCGGGAGAAACACACCATTGAAAGGGACTATAATTCAAGGCAGGGTTTGATAAGGGCTGCCGTGGAGGGACAAAAGCAATGAGAAAACGGGGTGTGGGGCAAGATTCAAACTCTCCAAGTCACTCTAAGTGCTAGAACTTACCTGTTTTGGGGTTTTACTATAATTTTTATACCATGCAATTCTCATTGTTTTTGTCTCAACAAGTAGCCCTAGGAACATAATCAAACTTTTGTGATGACTCTGACGATCACCATGGCAATAATTGCTGTGCAGGCTGTGATATAGCAACACCAGAGGCCCCCAGTATAGGAACAGCGGTGGCCTGCACAACGGCTCCAGGTTGCTATACTGAGAGGACTGATGTCCCTTCCTCCAGGGGTGAAGGGCCCCCAACGTTGTCTGTGAATATTGCTTTTATCCTGCTAACTTCCATTACACACAATAGTTTGGGTGCTGAGGATTGTTCTGTCTTTCCACCAAGTAAAATGCATCAGCTGTATGACAACAATTTTCTCCTCCGTGAGATATTTTTTCCGACCAACTTCAAAGCTTTCAGCTGTCTTCTTAATGGTGGAGGTCGCTGCAATTCTGGCCTTCAGATAAATGGGGATTGTGGAATCATCATTTCTAATATGGGTAACCGTGAGGTCTCCTCTCACGCAAAGTAACCAGGAGAGGAGAAGGATCTATACTATAATATACTATAATAAGGAAAACAAACTTTATTAATTTAGATTCCATTAAGATGAAAAGGCACCTTGAAAAATCACATAGAGAATGAGGTAAGCAGAGCCTTCCATATTTGCATGTGCATGAGTTAATAAAAACAGAATTTTTCCTACATTTTCTTCTAGAATTTTTATGGCTTTCTGCCTTACATTCAAGTCTTTTATCCATCTTGAATTAATTTTTGTATATGGCAAGAGATAGGGGTCCTGTTTCATTCTTCTGCATGTGGCTATCCAATTTTCTCAGCACCATTTATTGAATAGGGCTTCCTTTCCCCAGTGTATGTTGTTGTCTGCTTTGTCAAAGATCAGTCAGCTGTAGGTATATGATTTTATATCTGGGTTCTCTATTCTGTTCCATTGGTCTATGTCTCTACTTTTACGCCAGTACAATGCTGTTTTTGTTACTATTGCCTTGTAGTATAATTTTAAGTCTGGTAATGTTATGCTTCCAGATTTGTTCTTTTTGCTTAAGATTGCTCTGGCTATTTGGGCTCTGTTTTGGTTCCAAATGAAAAACAGATTTAGTTTTTTTTAGATCTGTGAAATATGACGTTGGCATTTTGATGGAGACTGCATCGAATCTGTAAATCACTTGGGCAGTATGGACATTTTAACAATGTTCACTCTACCAATCCATGAGCATAAGATATTTTTCCATTTGTTTGTGTCATCTGTAATTTCTTTCATCAGTATTTCATAGTGTTATCTCCTTGTAGAGATCTTTCACCCCTTAGTTAAGTATATTCCTAAGTATTTGATTTTCTTTGTGACTATTGTAAATGGTATTTGATTTTACTCTCAGCTTGACTGTTACTAGTATATAGAAATGCTACTGATTTGTGTATATTGATTTTGTAGCTTGAGACTTTGCTGAATTTATTTACCAATTCTAAGAGTCTTTTGGTGGAATGTTTGGGATTTTCTATATATAAGATCATATCATCAATGAAAAGTGATAATTTGACCTCCTCTCTCCCGATTTGGATGCCTTTTCTTTCTTTCTCTTGCCTGATTGCTCTGGCTAGGACATCCAATTCTATGTTGAATGGAAGTGGTATCAGTAAGCACCCTTGTCTTGGTCCAGTTCTTAGGGAGTATGCTTTCACCTTTTCCCCATTCAATATGATGTTGGCTGTGGATTTATCATATATGACATCAGCCTAAGCAATTTATGACTAAAAAACCCCAAGGGCAATTACAGCAACAACAAAAATAAATAAATGGGACTTGATCAAATTAAAAGGCTTCTGCACAGCTAAGGAAATAATCAATAAAGCAAATAGACAACTCACAAAATGGGAGAAAATATTCACAAACTATATAGCTGATAAAGGGCTAATATCCAGAATCTACAAATAACTCAAATAAATAAGCAATAAAAAAATAAACAACCCTATTAAAAAGTGGGCAAAAGACATGAACAGAAGTTTTCCAAAAGAAGATAGACAAATGGCCAACAAACATATGAAGAAATGCTCAACATCACCAACCATCAGGGAAATGCAAATTAAAACTACAATGAGATCGCACTATACCTCTGTCAGAATGGCCTTTTTTAAAAAATTAAAAAAACAATGGATGCTGGCAAGGATGCAGAGAGAAGGGAATGATTATACACTGTTGGTGGGACTGCAAATTAGTACAGTCCCTATGGAAAACAGAATGGCGATTCATCAAAGAAATAGATGTAGACCTACCATTTGACCCAGTAGTCCCCCTGGTGGGTATCTACTCAAATGAAAAGAAGTCATCTTATAAAAAAGACACCTATACTCAAATGTTTATTGCAGCACAATTCACAATTACAAAGATGTGTAATCCACCTAAGTCCCATCAATTCATGAGTAGATTAATAAAATGTGACATATATACACCATGGAGTACCACTTAGCCATAAGACATAATAAAATAATGTCTTTTGCAGCACCTTGGATGGAATTGGAGACCATTATCCTAAGTTAAGTGTCTCAGGATTGGAAAAACAAACACCACATGTTCTCACTGATAATTGGGAGTTAATTGATGGGCACAAAGAGACTTAAAGGTGATTGGAAAGCAAGAAGAGAGGTGGGTAAAAGCCTGTGTGTCAGGTACAGTGAACACTATCCAGGTGATGGGCACACTAAAAGCCCCAACTTAAACATTATAAAAGGTAACCATGTGACAAAACCCCTTGTACCTCCTTAATATTTTGAAATAAAAAAAAAAAAACCTGTACAGATGTGAAGGAGCTTTTCTGTCCAGCTGCCTGGAGATCACAGACAGTGTCTGTCAGAACACCTGCCTGGCATACGATGTTGCCCAGTAAATGCAAATTGAATGCAGTGAGTGTAATCCACGAGCTGTGGGGGTAAAGAGTCCCTGCTTACAGGCATCAGGGTAGAAAATTAAATATTCTTCTTGACATAAGCTGGTGGATTTCTCATGATAATCACATATTCACTAATTTAGCCAAGAACTCTACCCAGTGCACGTTTGTGGAGTTCATGCTGGTCCAGGCATCAGTGCAGGTACCAGGCTCCCTGCAGTGACAAGTGCTCGTGGAGACTGTGTTCTGGCAGTGGCACAGGCCGTGAAGCAGCAGACTTGAACACCAGGTCGTGGTTTGTTCTCTAAACAAAATAAGACAGTGACGCGATAGTGCCGGGGTAGGGGGTCACACGGGGGCCCATGAATGCCTCCAAGGACATACCATTCAAGTGGAAACCGGCACGATGAGTGGGTTCTCTCCATGCATTGTGAAGGAAAAGCATTCGGGCAGAAGGAACAGCAGGAAGCAGCTAATGTGCGAAAGAGCTGGGAATGGGAATGGGAACACGGAGTCATTTAGAAAGTGGGAAGTGTGATTGTAAACTGAAAGTTAAAAAACGAAGAGAGAGATTTGTTGACAGTGTCTCCCCATCTCAATTTGAAGGAGTGAGCAAAAGTCAAGGATTTTCAAACCACCCATTCAAGGTAACCCAGGTGGTGGCGGGGGGCGGGGGGTGCAGAAATGGCTGTGGGTCAGGCTGGATGGGGCCTCTTGCTCTCAGACACCGCTGCCCACAGGAGTGCCCATGAGCACCCAACGGGATACTTTGCCGTGACATCCGTGCTGGTTGTCGTGGACGCCTACCCAGCGTGGTGCAGGCCCTGGTGGCATGAGGGACGGTGGCATGAGGGATGGTGCTGTGAGCACCTGCTGGACTGGGCCAAGCAAAGGCCCTTTGCCCCTCCTGGCCCAAGGACCTGAGATTTAACCCTTTGAGGTGACTTACAGAATAAGCCCACCAGGACCACGGTAGATTGGCTAGGATTCAGAACACATAAAAAGGGAGAATACACAAAACTGGAGGGGAGAGGGTCGGCGAGAAGAGCCTCCTTCTCTCACCTGGGCACACCTCAATGAGCATCCGGAGGGACCGCAGAGGGGCAGGAAGGGTCCACCCTCACACCTGAGCCTAGGCAGGGGAGGCCCTGGTGTCCGGCCTGGAGTCCTGGCAGGAAGAGAGGCCGCAGGGGGAGTCTGGCAGACCCCGGGACCAGCTGGGATGCTCCAGGACCCCACCCTTGGTGACATCACCATCCGGAAGCAGCCCCTCCCCCGCCCACACTCCAGGCCCAGGCCCCAGGGCGCTGAGACACCCTGGAATGTAAGAATGGGTTAAATAGAATGTTGCCTTCTCCTGGAGGAGAGGCTGTAAGAGACATTGTTGGAGACTACAGCAAAAGACAGTAACCGGTGTGGGGGTTAACTTGTTTTCCAAGAAATGTCTTATCCTAAGGATTTTTAAAAAGAAGATTCCAACACTGAAACTGGTATGGAAAAATGAGGTTTATATTTTTCTTTTGTCTTATAACCCTACAGACTGTAACACTACCTCTGGGATTTTTCTGGTTACTTTTCAATCCCATTCAGATAGATGGAGAAGTCTTGTAACAATACCTTTTGTTAAAAACACTTTAAATTCCATGTATTCTTAGCTCTCTTTAAGTAATGCTGCTTTTAACAAGACTTTTTATTAATTAATTTCTTCTTTCAGAATTCCAGTTCTCTAAAAATGCTTTGAAATGTAACTATTCTCGCATTTTTCTTTTTCTTAGAATAGCCTTCCCAGCCTTTGAGAGGGTTTGATAATAACCAATTTGGAGCTTAACAGCAAAAAACATTAGAACTAATATCGCCAATTTTCTATTACATGAAGACATAAGAATACCATGAGGTTTTGATTTTGAATAAATCTACAGGCTCAGATATTTAAAAGATAGATTGTTCTTTTGGGCTTCTTAGGATAAAAACTGAGTCAAGTTTGAGTCAGCCTGAAAATTGAATTGTGAGTATCGTCATAATGAAAATTTCTTACACTTTCAAGCCAGCTCCTTCGTGAGAAACTGGAAAGAAAAAAAAATGTATATTCCATTACTTCTCTTGTCTAATTCTGTATTCTGTTTAGTCTTTTGATGCTAATAGTTTAAATTACTCTGAGTACTTTTCCACCACGAGGGTTTTAATCCTGCTTTCAAATGTCTACAGATATAATGATGTGCTTCCATGAATGCCAGGAGAAGTTTTACGAACTCTTTTAGAACCCTTCCCCGGAGAAGGTGCATTTAATAGACGAAAATGTCATGTTTCATTAGTACATTCGTGCTCACACAAATTTAGTTTGCAGAAAAGATAGTGCTTGTAAAACCGAAACCAAAATTGACAAATTGTGCCTCTGTTTAAAAGCTGAAACCCTCAAATAGAGAATCATCCGCACATACATCAGCCCGAATCTATAAAACATGTACTTTCTTCTGGAATAAAAATGCTTTTGCAAAGACTCCTTCCCTGGGAGGCAAACCTAGAGACCCAGGTCCTGAGTCCAGAGGTCATTTAGCTGGACTCCTCAGGACCTGGGCAGTTTTAGCCACGATGTGGCCCCCCGCATGGATCGACACAGGGAACTGGGAATGCCTCACACCTGTGGTCCCCAACCCAGGTACTGCTCTGTGGCCTGTCATTAATAGGACGGGGCCGGACAGCAGGAGGTGAGCTGCAGGGGAGAGCAAGAAAAGCTTCATCTGAACTCACAGCCGCTCCCCACCGCTCCCCATTCCCCCCACCTTCCATGGAAAAACCGTCTTCCATCAAACTGGTCCCTGGTGCCAAAAAGGGTGAGGACCGCTATATAAATAGCTCACTGCAGGCTTAAACACCTGGGCTCAATTGATCCTCCTGCTTCAGCCTCCCAAGTAGCTGGGACTACAAGCATGTGCCCCCACACCTGGCTAATTTTTTCTATTTTTAGTAGAGACAGGGTCTTGCTCTTGGTCAGGCTGGTCTCCAACTCCTGACCTCAAGCGATCCTCCCACCTCGGCCTCCCAGAGTGCTAGGATTACAGACATGAGCCACTGTGCCCAACCATGTTATTTTTTAATTGGCAAATAAAATCATCTATATTTATCTTACTGAAATACAGATTATGGAATGACTGAATGGAGCTAATCCATAAATGCATTACCTCACAGACTTATCGTTTGTACCGAGAACAGTCTTACAATATGCTCTCAGCATTTTCACAAATATAATACATTGTTAATAACTATTGTCACCACGTTGTGTGCAGAGCTCACGTTTTAATGCAAGAAGACAGATAATAAGTCAATGTAGACTGTGCTGGGTGGGGACAGGTACTAGGAAGAAAGATTTTAAGAGCATCACCCTGGTCATGCTTGAAAACAGACTCTAGGGAGGCAGAAGAGAGACCAGTTAGAGAGCTGTTGCAATAAAAAATTCAAGCAAGAGATAATAGCAGCTAAGACTTGCGGGGTGGCAGTGGAACAGCAAAAACTAGTCAGATTCTTGATTTATTTTGCAGGTGAAGATGACAGAATTTGCTGAGAGCTTGGAGGCGAAGTATAAGAAAAAGCAAGTAAACAAGGATAATTTCAGTACTTCAGATCCGAGCAGGCACTGGGTGAAAGCCGGCAACGTTAGCTGAGACGGGGATGGCAGGGAAAGACGGGGAGAGGAGGTCTGCGTGCATGTGTGCACGTGTGCGTGTGCACGTGTGTGCACGTGTGTGCACGTGTGTGTGTGCGCACACATCCGGAGGGGAACTCCGGAGCCCGGCTGTGGCTGTGCTCCTTTGAGACTTCTCTTAAACACACAAGAGGAGCCGTTGGGTAGGCAGCCGGGTGAGTTTGGACTTCACGGGGAGAAGTCGGGGATGGAGACATAAACGTGAGGACCATCGTCACTGACTGCTTGGTATTAAAGCCCCAGGACCGGGCGGGATCGCCCGGTGGAGGAGTGCAGCTCCAGAAGAAAAGGGAGCCGCGCACCAAGGCCTGAATCGGCCCCGGTGTTGAGAGGCTGGTGAGAAGGAGACCAGAGGAAGTGCAGGGTGGGGACAGACGATGGCATCCACACCGCATTGCCTCTGGGCAGAGATCTCATTCACAGCAAAAGAAATGCAAAGTGCACTCAGACCCAAGGCACACAAGGGTCTTACCATTTGCCCGGTGGCAAGCAGCAGCTGGTCCGATAGACCTGTGGATGACGGGCACACCCGAGACCCAGCATTAGGAGTCGACACCCAGAGAGGCCGGTCCTGACCTAGAGGATGCAGTGCATGTGCCGAGTCGGTACCCAGTACATGGCACTGTTTCGCGACAGCCAGAACGCGTGGGTCTGGGGACCTCAGGTGGAGAGGGGTGGCCACTCTCATTCCTACGCTCCACAGCCCATTCGCAGAGCTCTCCTTTCCACCCTCGAAACTTCTGCCTCTGCTGCTTAGCAGGTCTCGGTGCTCAAGGCGAGAATCTGTCCACGGGACACAGAAATGATGCCACCGCACTGGAGGTAGAGACGGTTCCCTGGCCTAGGTGGCTTCTCATGCCACTGAACTGTCGGACAGCGGTTGCCATGGGGATAGTGATGCTGGTTGCCAAGGGGAGACTGGGAGCAGCTGCATGGCGGGGACAGGCAGGACTAGGTCTGGAACCCGAGGACTCTGTGGAGCAGCTCTCGGTACTTCCACACCCCGCCCAAGCCAGCGGGAAACGGCTGCAGCCACAACACGCAGGACCACGCGTGGTTTGGGACACCCCACCAGCGCAGACCCCATGGGATGAAGGCAACGGGACGTGGAAAGAGCAGGAGAAAAGGACTGTGGTACCAGTTAGAGCCTGTGACCTGTCACAGAAGCAAGCGCCGGAGTAGCTGTGCCTCCTTCCTCCTTGTGCAGAGGCGACACCAACCGGTTCCACCTTTCCTCATCCTTCTTCCCCACTGTCTTACATGGGGGACTATTGGTGGTGACCGACTTCAGTCTTCGCATCACAGATATGTGTGTGGAGTGGCACTGAATTAGAGAGATGATCAGCTGCACCAGAGACAGACATGAGGACTGCCGGGATGCTGTGCTTCCTTTTCGGGGAGGGAGCTCCTCTGCGTGCACAAAGAATCGTTGCCTCTTGTCGGGGGCGGTCACAAGCTGCGTGAAAGTTCAAGTTCAAGTACAGCAGGGAGTGTGTGGAAGTGGACTCGCCGAAGGGCGCAGGGTGCCGGGGACTAAGCTGCTGACCCCCAGTCCCCAGCCTCGGTCCTGCGTTCTGCTCCGTGTGGCTGCCCCGATGTCACTTGAGATGACGTTTCTCCTTTGCCACCAGGATTCCTGTGGGTTTTGCCTGCAGAGGTGGCAAGGGGGGAGGGGACTTCCTTGTCTGTGTGGACAGGGGGGAGGGGACTTCCTTGTCTGTGTGGACAGGGGGGAGGGGACTTCCTTGTCTGTGTGGACCTCGCCCGGAACGACCCTCACCTTGGCAGTGGCTGTTGACTCCAGTTTCCAGCTTATCGCGACTCCAGCCTCGGGGGTCACCGGGGGCCTGGGCAGCCTCTCCTTGTTGCAACAGACTCGCGGCAGGGGTCCCCCATCAGGCACCCCCAGACGTGGCCAGCCCCTGTGGGGTCTGCGAGCCTTTCCCGGGTGTGTCAGTGCGTCCTAAGGCCGCAATGTGTTATAAAAGGGATTTACTTGTTGGAAATCAAAGGAAAGAACGTCTGATCATCCCGTTACTGAGGGAAAAGGAAAAACTTGACATGACACTTGTCACTGATAATGTGATGTGCTTGACTTGTGCGGTTCCTGGGGACGATTATCGCACGTGATCCTGGAAATGCGGATGGGGCGAGCCGGGGGCCCCCTGGGAGAGGAGCGGGACGGGGGATCCCCGCTACCACTGCAGCTCCCAGGGACAGGAAGGCAGTAAGGACCCCTCGGCCCCAGCGGGTGGCCTGGTCTCTGCAGGACCCGGCACTCCAGACTCAGCCCGGGGTCCCCGCTGTAGAGAAGACACTGCTGGGGTGGCCGCCCTCCGGTCCCCGGTGGGGCCGAGGCCAGGACTGTACCTTGAGAGCCACCCCTGAGTCAGACGCAGCAGAGGCGGCCGCCGGGCCAGCCCAGGAAGTGGGCTCCTGCTGGTGGCCTGGCAGTGTGGTCTCGGGAGGACACCCGGGCTACTTGCGGAGGGAACGCGGCCAGGGAAAGGACCCCCAGAGCGGG